CGTCAGCACAGAGCCCGACACGGGGATCGAACCCACAGACGATGAGATCATGACCTGAGCTGAAGTCGGATGCTCAACCGACTGAGCCACCCAGGCGCCCCGATCATTTTCTATTTTTTGTGTCTGCCGATAGGAGTTTCTTGAAAACCCCAGTACCAAGATGCAATAGAGGCAGCGGTGTGAGAAGGTTCTCTTCCACTTAAACTCCCACCTTTTTTTTAAACTCTCTACGGTGACGATACGAGTGTGGACAAGAGTCACATGCTCTGCCTAACAACCCATATTACTCTTGAAGTAGCCACTTGAGGCAGGTGGGGCCAGAGCTGAGTCAACGTCTGCCCACTGTTGACCAGAACATAGTACTGGATGTGTAGCAAACCAAGTCCCTGTGTAGTGGGTGGGAAAATTAGGATGTTATGGACAGGCGGCAGCCTCAAACGTGGGGCTCCCGGGGTCAGGACAGCCGGTGCTGTGAGGCCTCTCCACACTGTCCTCCTCATAGCCAGAGGGGAGGGCCGCCGGGCTACTTGCACTCACTCATGCTTGGAATGGAAAGGTGTTGAACAGCTGAATTCTTGGCGTGCTGACATAGCACACAGAGAGGGAGGGAACCTGGCGCAACTCAGACCGCGGCCGAGAGCCTTGGCACAAAGGTTTTAAAGGAATTTTGCAAACAACCCTGCTGGCTGTTCAAAGCCTCCTACTGACGCTCATCCTTTAGCAACTGCATTACAACTTTTGCTCATAACTCCGGTGGGAACTCAAACCCAACGCTAACCGCCCCGGAAGTCAGGCTGGGGTCAGGTGGGTGGGAAGAACCAGCCAATGGATGGATGTTCCAGGCACCGGGCATCAAACAAGACTCAAACAGCCTGTGGATGGGGAAAACTGAGGCACGGGAGGATATCAAAGTGCACGGGGCCGGGGGTGGGGGGCGGGGATCGGGAAGATGACTGCCTGGGGTAGGAGTGTCCAAAAACACCCCGAGGAGGGCTGTCCATCACCTTCAAGGATGACCAGAGATTTGCGCCATAACCTCCCAGTCATCCTTTGGCTCCTTTGTAGAATGAGGTGCCTTTAATGCAATTAACTGCTTGCTGGCGTGAACTCAGCAGGGAGAACAAACGATTCTGCCCCCGGCAGCTTATTCACTGCCTGCTGCCTCCCACAGGTGCCAGCCAGCCAGCTGTCCCCAACGTCTTAACCACGCTGAGCACTGCCCTCAGAGCCCTCCGTTCTGGTTGGCTCCCATTCTCCAAGGCCGTTCCACCGATACCTCCACTCACCTCCACAGAGAGGATCTTCCCCAGGGCAAAAAAGAACGGGTGCATGTTGATGTCCGGGTCTTTGCGGAAACAGTTGGGCTTGGCATGGTGCTGGAAGTGCAAGTGGTTCCACCAACTGGCGGGGGCGCCCTACAGAAAAGTAGGGCCGTGAGTCCGAAAGCCCAGCGTTCTCCCCAAACCCCCAAGGAAACCCCTCATCGACCGGCGTTTCGAGAGCCCCTCCCCATCCCATTGACCTTCAGGTGGCCAATCACGAAATGATGGAGCAGGTGGTTCCAAGTAGAGGTGCTGAAGACGGACAGGTGCCCGAAGTCATGCTGCAGCCAGCCAGCCTGAGCCTGAGCGAGAAAGGTTAGCGCTGAGAGCAAAACCCACCGTTCCGGCATCCCTCTCACTGACCTCAGCGGCTCCTCTGCGTCACCCCCTTCCTTCGTCTCCCTAGCCCCTGTGACGGCCACAGTACCCTGAGCACAACCCGGAAGGAGTCAGGCTCCTAACTCTGCCTCTGCCGCTAACTCACATGAGAGTGGCGGCAAGTCACTATCTTCTCCCTGTTCTTCAGTTTCCCCAGCTCTGGAGTTCTAGGACCTAGGATGTGCCGAATCGCGACCACGAAACAGGACAGGGTGACAGAGGCAAGAAGGCTCGGCAAATGGGTTCTGCCATTAGGGCCCAAGCATTATTAGCATGTTGGGCAACGTGGTGGGGAGGAGAAAGCCAAGCTTTGCTGAGAAGTCAGAACCTGGGCTCTTGGCACACTTGGGCTATGGCAGAACCGGACTACGAAGCTTCAGGTAAATTCCACAGAAAGAAGGGGGCCCGTGGAGGAGGGGTTGGGGAGGCAGTGAGGAAATGAAGGCGCACACGTGGCCAAGGAGCAGACAGAAGCCACGGACAACAAAATCTCTCTCTGCCCTAACTCTGCCCCACATCCTCAGCGCTGCCCCGGCACAGGGCCGGGCTCGTGACCTTCTGAGGCATACAAAGAGCTTTCCCCGAGGATGCCGAGCACGGCCGTGCTCCTGACAAGCCAAGTGATGGCTTCTCACTTGAGCCGTGCTGAGCAGCACCGCACACAGGAGGAAAGGCACAAAGGATGTCCCGAAGACCCAAAGGGTGAGCCAGGCAGCAACATCCAGCAGTAGGATGTGCAGCAGGTACAGCAGGAAGAAGACATGGTTGGCCTTCATGAGCCCCATCCGCTCCACGGTGGCCTGCAGCTCCCGGAACTCGTAGATCAGCTCTTTCTGTGGAAGAGTAGAGAGAGAAGGGCTATTATTCTTCCCAGCTGTACTCCAACATTGCTGGAAACAAGGGCCCTCTTAGGCTCGAGGACCCTCCACCCCCAGATCGTTGCAGGAAGTCCACAATCCTAGGTAAATATACAACACTGAGGAAAGGACAGGAGAAAGCGCTCTGGCGTCGCACCGAGGAGCCTGTGGTCTTTGGAGTTAAACAGACTCGATTCAAGTGTCTACTCCGCCGTTTGCTCACAGGGTGACTCTCGGCCACCCTGTTCAACCTCTCTGAGCCTCAGCTTTTTTCCTCTGTAAGTGTGTGAGGGTTAGCCGAGGGGATGCCTGACACAGTGAGGGTTCGACAGATAGGCCTCCGTGATGGTAGCGGTGGTGGCGGTAGCCTTGCGAGAACCAGATGTTCCGAGGCCCCGCCTCCTGCCTTAGGCCTGCATCCCAACGACTAACGTGGGAGAAGCGGGGACCTCAAGCCTTGCAAGAGCTACTGACTGTGGTCACCTGTGAGCCTAGCGAGGCCTGCCTTCTCTACCCCCTGCCCTTCAACAAACCACAGGGTCTCCAAACAGCAGAGTCTCACATTTTTAGTGGGCTCGAAGCTGGGCTGCTCTGGAGACAGTTCTCCGATCAGGAGAGAGTTCATATACTTCCTCACAAGGCCCTTGTTGATGTGAAACGCCACAAAGGGATCCTGCAAGGAAAGGGAGAAGACAGACTGGTTAGGAAGCCAGCACGGTCCCCTGTGACTCCTGGAAGGCTCACACCAGAGGCCATCCTCCTGACCCAGCAAGGAGGCCGGATCCAAGTTCAAACCGCTTCCCTCCAGTCAGCTGCCCTTTGAGGGTGCTTAGACCTTCCCAGGTGTCCACAGCTCAGGAGCACCCCGACATGTGTTCTAGAAAGAAAGGCACCACACCAAGGAATACGAAGTGCAGGTAGGGGGACCACAGAAAGTCCTCTCTGGCCTGGCCTTTCCTCCAGGCACGTCTAGGGACAGCTTTTGCACAAGAATTTAGATATAAGCGAGAAGCGACTAGAAGGGATGGGTGGGGCTACGAGATTTCTGGTTTGTTTGTTTGTTTTCTGTGGGACTTTTAACAGACCCTCTCTGAGGCAGGGGTTCTTCATAAAATGTGGTTAGATTCCTTACGCCCGAACTGGGAAGTTTTGCATTTCTACTGCTGTTCCAGGTAGGGTTGGTTCCATGTTTCCCCTAGGACTCTGACCACCCCGCTCCCGGCCGGCCCCAGAGCGGCTACTTTTGATAATCTTTAGGTGGGGTAGGTCAGACCGACCCAGGCCTTACGGGGAACCTTCCCCGGCACTCTGAGGCGGGAGCCGGGGCGGAGCCGGTGGACGGTGGCACCACAAATCTGGACCAATCGCCAACTCCGCCGCCCGGCCATTCAGCCCGGGCCCCAAATCACACTGTGGGAAGACCCTGCGTCGGTGCCTGCTTCGTCTGCGCATGCGCTAGCCCACGTCTTCGCCTTCCGCCGCCGTCCGGGCTTCCCAGTAGTCACTCGGGGTGACCCCTGCAGGTTCTGGCCTTGCCACCCCCGGCCGGCCGCGTCGCTGGGAGGGGCGGGCCCTCAGCCCAAGACGTCTATGCTCCGCTGCGACAAAACGGGAACTCTGGCGGCCCCAGGCGCCCTCCGGGATGGCAAGGGCGGAGGGCGGGGACAGCGGAAGGGGTCGAACCGCCGGACTCGGGATGGCGAAAGGATGTAGGGGGGGAGGGGACACGTTGAAGCAAAGCCTCCACGGGGCCCCACAGGGTCTCCAAATATGGCAGGAGGTGCCAGTTGCCGTAGCTCCGAGCGCAGGTGGTCTAGAAAGGGAAGGGCAGGACTGGGGCTGGGTGGCACGCGGACCTCTTAGTGAGGCCCGAAGGAGAAAGGATGCGAGCCACAGTCTAGGAGTGCAAACTGCTGTCCGCCACGAGGAATGGCTGGACACCCCGCTGGCCTGCGGCCGAGTGACCTCCCCACGGGATTCGAGGACCGCTCCGAGGGTCCTTGCTAAGTGTATGCCCGCCCCGCCCCCACTTCTGCACGCCGCTCTATTACCCGCTGTGCACCATTAGTCTTCAATCCTCTCCGGCCGGTGAGGCCCCTCCCTCACTGTGCGGGGGTGCCTAAGGCAGCGGGCGCCAAATTACTTTCCACCTCCGCCCTATCCCCGAGACTGCCTCCCTCTCCTGCTCCCGCTCGGCAAGCCTGCACGCGCAGTCTAGACACCGCTGCGCTCCCTTCCCACCCACCGAGACACAGGTTGAGACTCCCTCTCCCGGCCACTGACCTCCCCCCCCTCCCTCGGCCTCAGCAGCA